TTGGTTCCCACTGCATGAGAGCTTTGACTGCTGTTGGTGATATCATGATGGCCACTCCCTCGGTGTGCGCGTGGTCGTCCTCTGGGTGGCTGGAATAGATTATTGTCTCAGTTGGCACCTTCCAGTTCCGTTCCATCTGCTTTCGCAGATTCCCAACACCTCTGTTATGTACCTTCTCATTTCAGCGGCTATCTGGACAGCCTTTCCAGTTTCGTACATTGTACGAACATTCCAGGTACTCATCCTTACTTTTGATTTCATCGAAAGAAGGCACATCGGGTGGCTGGCTTCCCGAAGGCTTTTACCAGCCTGGGTCATTTCACTTCCCCGATTCCAGAGAAAAATAAGGCTATTTTTTATGTTTTTAGAATTTTTAATATATTTATTCGTGGAAGTTTCTGTAGCGATTTGGTTGTTTTACGCGGGTGGAGTTGCTAGCACCACGCCCCAACCCTCCCTCTTTATCCGGACTTGGGACCGGCTAGAAAACTAGGAAGCTAGTAGCCTTGCAAGCTAGTAATCATCATCACTTCTATCCAACTCAAGAAACAACCATTAAACGACACTTCATTACTTCTCAGTCTAGAGAGGCAACAAAAAGTAAAAAGCATCTGTAATCAAACAGAAATCACTGAGAATGAGCAGATATTGTTCACACTTTGTATGTTTCTTCATGTCACCTAGAATTTGTTATTGCTATTGCTGTTATTCCGCAAATCGTAGTATTACGAAATTCTTAGAAGACAATCCGACAACAATGTTGACGGTGTCGGTGGCGCCACGATTACTCATAAGCTTCCATCTCCTCCATGTCACGCAACTCATCGTTTCTTTCTATTCCATCACAACCCACTTGAGGGTTTGGCATAGGCAACACGCTAATTCACGGTCTCCGCAGCGCGTGTCCCATCATCCGTTCCCACTCTCTTCGGTATATTTATTGAACTGTGTGCTATTCGTTGGCTCGTTGCAAGGCAGACCTCCTCGTTGTTAATTCCTTCTAGCCAGATATCTATCTGATCTTCCGTATGGAGCACAGACACCTGTTGACAAATGAGAGTCTTCAGTCTGCGGTCAATTGGAAATACTTCTGAAGACCATGGTCGTCGAAGCTGGGAAGCACACCGACTTCATTGACATTAGTGTTGAAAATCTAAATCTTGTTGTTTATGCTTAGTGCAGTAGATTCCCAGACTGGTTTCACTCTGATTAATGTAGGCCAGTCAAGCCTTTCCGACCTGGCTGGCTGACTGGTTGACTTTGACATCCTCAAGTGTGACGTCTGTAGTTGAAGGGATCTTCTCAAGCTGGACAAGTTAAAGAGGTGACCTTATCCAAGTTTCTCCCGTTGACAGTTATTCATTCTTCTTCTTCTTGTTTAGGTATCTCTTCATCACCTTTGTCAAGTGAAGTCCTACCTTTGACCCGTAGATGCAATTTTCACACTACTCAGTCAAGCAGACAAACAATCAGACATTGATCAGTTGATACAGATCAAATCTTTCCAAAGCTACAACAACAACAACAAACAAGACACTAGTCTCAGGGAGGAAACCTGACCCATCTACCAGAGTGAACGTCTTCAATTAGTCTCAACAACGCGTCGAAAATGACTTTGGTTCATGGTCCACGGTGCATAGTCCACTACAATAACTTCCCATGACACTTCATTTGCTCTCTCCATAATATGTTCCCCAATAGAAGAGATAGACTGTCTCTTTTCACCATGAGTGGATTCATGCAATCCAGTCTGCTTCTGAAGTGTCATTTTCCACTCCCAATGTGCTAATCATAATTCATTCAATCAGAAATTATAGTCAAGTCTCCATGTGAAGGTCACATCGAGTCTACAATTTGTCTGTTTCAGTGAGAATTTGTAAGGACCGCTTTCGGTGGAAGGGAGAAACGACTAAGTTATAGTCTATAATTCTACTCGAAAAATAGTCATTTGTGTAAAATTATTATCACTATACCCTAGTTACTGCTAGATTTAATCGGTGCCTATTACTCTGCATCTATCACCATACATTTGTCTGAAATTCCCTTGCTTTCATTTGAATTTGTGTGATGACTAATGCATCATAGGTGGTCACTGAATTACGTGAATACTGACTGCATTAAGAAAACGGAAAACATCTCAGCGAACACTTACAACACTTATATGAATAAAATAAAAATAAAATACAGACAAATACAAAAAATACAAAAAACAACGACTGAAAACCTCTTCCCCTATGTGTTCATCAATGGTGGAATATTCAAATTCTGTGAAGTGTATTCGGTTGCATGCTGTGAATGCCAACAACAAACACGATAACTAGGTCGACCACAATTATTCACAGCCTGTCCCGTCTATAAAACCCAACGTAGCACATTACTACTTTGAAAACAGGCCAATCTACGCATATCCCGGCTTATATCACTATTTCAAGATAAATAAACTCGAATTGTGCCACTACGACTAGCACCACTACTACTACTACTACCAGTACTGCTAGCAAAATAGTGTAAAAAGTATCCAATCAAATTATTGGCATTTCATTTGAAAACTTAACATTTGTAAGATAGTTGGGTAACATACTTCTTCACTCCTCCTCCTCCTTCTCCACACCTGTCTCCTGCTGCTGTGCTGTTGAACAATTTCTTCAATCACACAAGACTGAGTTACACAATTCTTGTGGGAATAATCGCACGATAATCCACAGTCAGTCATATACCTCTTCTGCAACAGTCGAATCGGACTCATCTCATGTTATATGTAGCAGCGCATTCATTCATCAATCTACTACCATGAAACACAAGCATTGCATTCACTTCCACTTGTTCACTCTTACTGAATTTCGTCACCAAAAGAGTACAAGTCCCTCATAACATACCATGTAATGTCGGAATCGATTCTGAAGAGTGAGTGAGTGCTTGGTCAAACCTTCTGTTGTCGACTGTCTTTCTCCAAACAGCTTCACTTCCTACTTGTCTGCATGAGAAGAAAAAAGATGATTTATATTCGTTATTCAAACAGCAGGCTGTGTTCTACTACATGAAACACTACACAGTAAAAAGGAATTGGTTGCAACAACATCCTATGCAACATTCAGTGCAGGCAAGTTCATCTTCGGCATCCAATTTATCAATTCTGCATTTTGCATTAAAATCTTCAATATGCATATCGCCAGAATACGTATTTCGAGAAATTACGGATTGACGAGTATTGCAAGTTAGACGTTGACAATCTCCGTCTTAGGAATAACCCACTATACATCTATATCTATATCTACATATATATATATATATATATATATATATATATATATATATATAAAGTGACACAAGATAAGCTTCAGTGGAAAGTTATTGTCCATTAAAGTAGTACTACAAATAGAGAAAGTGTAGCACCTCATCCCCATGAAGTGCGCCTTCATCACATTGGCTGTTCACCCAGGTGAACTACATCCCTGTATATCATACGAGGCTTCTGGAGCACATATCTGAACTCCGATCATGCTTTAGTGGATGTCACGATCATTTCACGATTTGGTGGTGCTCATATACGTCGTCTTCTACAGTTCAATGTAAGTGAACTGGTAGCACCTACTACTCTGAGAACCACCAGATTGAGCGAATGTCAAGGCTAGATAGCAACTCTTCGAACTGCATAGATGAATGATGGTAACGCCTGCAGAACCTTATGAGAATAGCTAGTAAAGCCACTCATAGCTTAAAATAGTACACCACTTAATACCACTGGGCTTCTGACAGTTTCTAGCAACGTTCGCATGTGTGCTGGTTCATTCCGTCGGGTGGCAAGTACAATATCATGCATAAGATTCAACAGTGTTTACCACCTAAGGACCGCGTATTCTGGTGGTCAGAACATGCCTGTGACATCCAACTAGCAGCTACGTTGGCGAATACCTGAAAGCTATCCCAGCTCATCCATGCCACCCACTAACAGCATCAAGCTAGGTGTCAGTCAGACATTCTGAGATGCACATAGTGACTCGCTTAACCCTCTCCCGATAGAGAAACTTCTTTCAACACGCGAGAAACTAAAGCTTAAACTTCCCAATATGTTACTGATTCAATTAGTACAGTGTAAGTTTTTTCTAAATACATGAAGAGGAAAATGAACCCGAAGAATGACAACGCATAGTGAATAGCCTGGGTGTATGTGTCATGGGTGTATGCAGTCCAAAGCTTGGCGGACAAAACTACTAATTCAACCACTGCTACTAGCGCGTTTTCAACGGTCCTCCAACCGATGTCAGTTTATCATCTAACCTGAGAGTCAGGAAGACTGGTGCAGCATGTCTTAATCGACAGGGGGATATTACACTCCAAACAAGTGAAATTACAATATGCAAGATGGTGTCAAAAATGACATCTTGATTAGAATGAGATTCATTCAAATTGATGACACATTCAACAACTGTGAAGCCTATTATTACAGTCACTTTCATCACTAATCGCCTTTTCTATAATCATTCCAGTTCCCAAGCAAAACAGACAGATGGTCACCGAAAGTTATAGCTTCATGCTACTACTACTACTACTGTCTGATTTGGAAAAGCGAGATTTCACCAACCGCCTCCTTTGCTATCACAGATAATCTAAGGCTCATAGGATTTTCGAAGAATTCCAACAATGCGATCGATGTATACAACGGATGAATCTCCTAGTCAGGTAAAGATGAATAGCTTTAGTGACTATTCGACTACCTTCGACTCGTAGTCAATTCCATTCGAGAAGGGAGAAGACGCTGACTAGAAAAAGTGGGAAAACATGAAAATCTCTTAAATCAATAATTAATAACTAGAGATAAGGGAGGAAGTAGAAAATTTCAACAAAGTCGTTTGAAACCTTACTTAGTTAGCATGTGTTGCATACCTGCGAGGATTTCTCTCCACTAACTAATTGCTTGTTGCTTCATCTTCCATTGCCAATTTGAAAACTCCATATCCCATGTCTGGTATTACTATTACTATTATTATTATTATTATTACTGTCGATCTCGTTTCCGCCTCCAAAATTTTCATGATTGTTATCAGAATTCAGAAAGTTATTGACTAAGGGATATAAAACTTGTCGAATGTGACCAAGCATGCATTCAGCGAAGTGACTTCTTATACTAGAAGCTCCGGAATGTGTGTAGGCTGGTTGTTTATTCAGTGACCTGGGAGAAGAACAAAGAATAATATCACGATGCAACATGCTATCAAAAAGGCTTAAGATTTAGAATCTGAAACCTTCAGACTTGAAAAATCAACTGACTTGGCCAGAAACGACAAACAGCAAGCCGGCTCTTCAAAATAATGTGAAAATTAATCCAGAAGACAGTTTGGTCAATAAAATCGTCATCACATGGACGACCTAGTATGACTGATGATGAGCAGATTTCGGTCTCTCCCTCAAAATCCTATCCCATATAGACTCGCATTTGCAGTCTCTGTCTCGAAGACTAGGATTAAGGAAGTGGCTCATTAAGACAACCAACTGCTTCCGTATGGACATCTGGACACTATCCAACTACTTGCACAAAATAACAGATATCACGGGGTGTATCACTACGCACATTCACTGTGCAGAGTCAAGGATACTTCAGACTGACCACAGACAGCTGTTTCGCTCAATGTATCATAACATTCTCAAGTTGCTATTGCACAGAATGTTATCCATGGTAAAGAAACATAACTGTAACCCAATTAGTGATGATAGCCATAGGATCATATGTGTTGATTTATTTATCCGTAAGGAAACAGTGAGAATACTCCCGCCTAAATATGAAGACATCATCAATAAGTAAATCTCACAACTACCGATGCCAACCACACACAAGTCATTAATCATACCATCTGGATTGTTGTAATCATATTGTGGTAGGTGATCACAGCAGGGAACATAGGACGTGGTTCTCGTGCTTGCTGGCGCTCGTCAGCGAGACCTATCTGTATTTTCAAAGGAGCACATAGCCTCTTTGAGACTAGAACCTAGGTCACTCAGTACTGCATGCAGAGACATTAGCACTGAGCTATAGAGGTTTGTGATTGACTCCCTTTAAGATTGTACTGAAAAGTTTGACTGGACATTACGTAGTGACTGAAACTCTGACAAGCTGCTGAGAGAATTTGTACAAGATTATTTCAATTCACCTAAGATTGCTCATCGAGGAAGACAGATGAACTATCAGGCTGCATCGATCGACACAGATTTGACGTGCGTTACGCATTCCAAACAATTGTCTTTCTCGTCGAACAATCTCACTCCACACAGGATAAAATCAGATAAGAATTAGCGGTCGTCAAATCAAGACTTCGAATCGATGCATCAAGTCTGTGATTGTTAAATTCAGCCTTGTAGGCGGCATGTTTAGCCCACCTTGCTGGTGTTCCCTAGACGCTAATTCAGAATTCAGCGTCTCATGCATATATATGTATATATGGACTATAAAAAGAGTAATAAAATAAAACCCTTGCTCTATAATTGAACACAAAAAGAACAACATTATGTATACTCACCGATTACGTGACTTCATAGAACGATATATGTCGAATTAAAAATCACTTTTAGATTGAAACAGATGGGAATCACCAATTAAATCAAAATAGAGGAGGCATAGGGACGTTTCTGTACAAAAGAAGCATGTACAATCCCTACTTCTGTCTTGGGCGTAGGGAGACAGACATTTATTTATTTTCTATATTTTATTTGTTTTGTGTATTCAGTTGTTCTATGTACCTTTCCCTCATTACTGCGATTATTGTTACTGTTATTACGATTCTCAGTTTCAATTGTCTCCACTTCTCCCACTCGTCATTCTAAATGCAAAAATATCGTATCTTGTCAAATTTGATACCATGTAATGTAACGTTTCATATTAGCCTACCAGCCCTAAAATGATACAGCCTTTTCGAACACCTATAAATCTTATGAATTACTGTGTATCTGGCATTAACTGTTTTGCCACCTGCCACTTGACACTTAACTATGATTATAATCACAAATATTTTAATTGCATTTCACACTACTATTGTTATTATTATTTTATTATTATTATTATTATAGTTTCATGTCTTCACGCATTTGATTGAATTCCCTCACGACATATGATTTGTTCTAAGAACCTTATGTATACGATTGTACAGCTTGATGGTAATCTCGTTGAATAGAATGACTTCGCTGAATATCGTGTTCTTAGTGTTACAGTGGTAATTATAAAATTAACGTATGATTGTTTGTGTGTTTGATTGTGGGGTGAGACTAGATTTCCAGCAGGCACACGCGAACCTACGCACACACACACACACACACTGCTAATCGTCGCCTAGTTCGACTACTCGGCTGTAGGGAATCAGGATTTGAGGATCGGTTAGGTTAGGATAGGCGGAGAGAGTGGCGAGCAATCCCAATGTGTAGAAACGACATCATAACTGATAATAATTCACAAATCTTCAAGCCCGATCTTCTAATTGACGTGCAAAGGAAGCAGTATGTATATGAGGTCATCATATACGGACCGTCAGTTCGTTGTAGGGAAGAGATTCCATGTGAGAATAGTCTATCCAGGGTAGTGTTTTGTTTATTCTCACAGCTATAATGTGTTTATTTGTTTGTTTCAGTCTTTCAGAGCACAGTCTATACAGAATGAACTGTGAGTTGTCACAGTGAATCGAATGTTCATTGATATAAGTGGAAAACTTCGGCACTGTGGTAGAGTATAACTCCATTATGGATAAGATGTTATTTTGATAAATCACACAGTGTTGTACAGTAATATTAATTGATGACCACGTTTCGAGCACAAACTATTGCCACTCATAATCATGTCAAGTTACTCACTCACACAACTTTTTTCTTTCACTTATATACATCTGTGGAGTCGATTAGATATTGGATTAAAACTCAATATGAGATAATGTACATTCAGAAATAATAATACGAGTGTTATTGATCAATTACAATTAGATGGGAAATAAGACGAGTGTTTTTTATAGTCATAATAAGTTACTTGTTAGAATGTTGTGATGTGTTTGAATTGAAATAGAATTTTAAGATTATTTATTATCCTCTTCTGATTTGACCGGCGGTAATAATATCTTCCATGCATATTTCTGGTATTTGCATTGAGTCATTTCTGTTGCATGTGTTGTGTTGGGTGTAGACTCGATGAACAAGGATTCCGTAATCAACCTCTCTCTTCACCTAGCTATATTACTTTTTAGAATTTTAACCCTATCCCACCCTATTGTGTGGTTGTTTGTTATTGCGTGAAGTGCAATAGCTGAGCATTTTTCTAAATTAATTATCATCTCGGGGTCGAAACGGATGAAACAATATACTCATCCACAATAGATTGAACACTGGGTGCAGGAGTGAGCAATGGGGGAGAAAGCTTATGATCACGTGAGTCAGCAGTATCTCTCTTCATTCAATAGAATTAGCATGTCCTTATAAAATGTGAACATACCCAACTAGACTCACCGCGCACACGGTCATCCCTGTTAACACTGGTCACCACCGGGTGAATAGAAGTAATTTCAGAAGACCTCGGATTCTCCTGACATGCTGTGTTCGGCCTGTCTGCCATGGTGAAATTCAGCTTTCTCAGTATTTCTTGTCCCTTACGACGGAGTTGAGCCCAAAGTCGTCTCGGATATCCCTCTGAGTGAAGACATTGTGAGATTTTCATCCACGTGTAATGCGGCAACTTCAATTCATCGACGTTGCCGCAATACACGTGGATGAAAATCTCACAATGTCTTCACTCAAAGGGATATCCGAGACGACTTTGGGCTCAACTCCGTCGTAAGGGACAAGAAATACTGAGAAAGCTGAATTTCACCATGGCAGACAGGCCGAACACAGCATGTCAGGAGAATCCGAGGTCTTCTGAAATTACTTCTATTCACCCGGTGGTGACCAGTGTTAACAGGGATGACCGTGTGCGCGGTGAGTCTAGTTGGGTATGTTCACATTTTATAAGGACATGCTAATTCTATTGAATGAAGAGAGATACTGCTGACTCACGTGATCATAAGCTTTCTCCCCCATTGCTCACTCCTGCACCCAGTGTTCAATCTATTGTGGATGAGTATATTGTTTCATCCGTTTCGACCCCGAGATGATAATTAATTTAGAAAAATGCTCAGCTATTGCACTTCACGCAATAACAAACAACCACACAATAGGGTGGGATAGGGTTAAAATTCTAAAAAGTAATATAGCTAGGTGAAGAGAGAGGTTGATTACGGAATCCTTGTTCATCGAGTCTACACCCAACACAACACATGCAACAGAAATGACTCAATGCAAATACCAGAAATATGCATGGAAGATATTATTACCGCCGGTCAAATCAGAAGAGGATAATAAATAATCTTAAAATTCTATTTCAATTCAAACACATCACAACATTCTAACAAGTAACTTATTATGACTATAAAAAACACTCGTCTTATTTCCCATCTAATTGTAATTGATCAATAACACTCGTATTATTATTTCTGAATGTACATTATCTCATATTGAGTTTTAATCCAATATCTAATCGACTCCACAGATGTATATAAGTGAAAGAAAAAAGTTGTGTGAGTGAGTAACTTGACATGATTATGAGTGGCAATAGTTTGTGCTCGAAACGTGGTCATCAATTAATATTACTGTACAACACTGTGTGATTTATCAAAATAACATCTTATCCATAATGGAGTTATACTCTACCACAGTGCCGAAGTTTTCCACTTATATCAATGAACATTCGATTCACTGTGACAACTCACAGTTCATTCTGTATAGACTGTGCTCTGAAAGACTGAAACAAACAAATAAACACATTATAGCTGTGAGAATAAACAAAACACTACCCTGGATAGACTATTCTCACATGGAATCTCTTCCCTACAACGAACTGACGGTCCGTATATGATGACCTCATATACATACTGCTTCCTTTGCACGTCAATTAGAAGATCGGGCTTGAAGATTTGTGAATTATTATCAGTTATGATGTCGTTTCTACACATTGGGATTGCTCGCCACTCTCTCCGCCTATCCTAACCTAACCGATCCTCAAATCCTGATTCCCTACAGCCGAGTAGTCGAACTAGGCGACGATTAGCAGTGTGTGTGTGTGTGTGTGCGTAGGTTCGCGTGTGCCTGCTGGAAATCTAGTCTCACCCCACAATCAAACACACAAACAATCATACGTTAATTTTATAATTACCACTGTAACACTAAGAACACGATATTCAGCGAAGTCATTCTATTCAACGAGATTACCATCAAGCTGTACAATCGTATACATAAGGTTCTTAGAACAAATCATATGTCGTGAGGGAATTCAATCAAATGCGTGAAGACATGAAACTATAATAATAATAATAATAATAATAACAATAGTAGTGTGAAATGCAATTAAAATATTTGTGATTATAATCATAGTTAAGTGTCAAGTGGCAGGTGGCAAAACAGTTAATGCCAGATACACAGTAATTCATAAGATTTATAGGTGTTCGAAAAGGCTGTATCATTTTAGGGCTGGTAGGCTAATATGAAACGTTACATTACATGGTATCAAATTTGACAAGATACGATATTTTTGCATTTAGAATGACGAGTGGGAGAAGTGGAGACAATTGAAACTGAGAATCGTAATAACAGTAACAATAATCGCAGTAATGAGGGAAAGGTACATAGAACAACTGAATACACAAAACAAATAAAATATAGAAAATAAATAAATGTCTGTCTCCCTACGCCCAAGACAGAAGTAGGGATTGTACATGCTTCTTTTGTACACAAACATCTGGCTTAAATTCACGAAATGTCAAAGCCTCTTCTGTTTTTTGAAATTTTTAACGATGGTAACGTGGCCGTCAAGTTAGCATGGATTTGACAGATGATCTCAAAGTCATGTTCAGGGTTGGTGGAGTGACAGGAGTCGATCAGGTGTTCTAGAATACATACAGCTCCACATACACTTCCTTTCTCCCTTGTATAACCATGCTGTTGGAAAATGCTGTCGTATCCGTGTGGAAAGCATTCCCCGATTACGGTCAATTTGCGTTGCTCCACAAGAGCAGGTTAACTGAGAGATGCACATGGAGACGGACAGACGGGGGAGATTATCTTTTACAGAGATGGAGATCAACTCAACGAGGGTGAGCGTCATTTGTAATTTTGCAGCAGAAAAAGTTTTACTGACTGGTTTAGAGAGACGGATTTTGAGCATATCTGAAGCTTGATCACCTTTGGATTCCAATTCCATGAATATGGTTATCTCTGAAACTGAGTCGATGACCAGTTTCAACGACTCACCTTTCGTGTTTTAGTCAATCAATCCGCTCGGGAAAGCGTCTTCTGTGAGCTTCGCTTTTCGAAAAGCCAGCGGGCAGCCAACGTAATAAGGACTACAAATGTTTCTCATCCTAAAGCAGAACGAAGAAAAAATACTAGTGAGCTTTCATGTAAACAGTCTCCATACTGTAATACTCTTTCAAACGACCATGAATCCACTGAAAACAAGACTGA